TTTAGAGACTTTAGTCACTTATGACGGACGTTATGTTACCTGATTACCGCCGCGATTACCGCCGCCCATGAACGAGCTCAAGTTAGGGTTGCCAACCTTTCGGAAGATGGGCTCGTTATCTTACTCATAGGCGAAAAGTGTCAACAGTTTGGGAAGACATGGTGCTTCACCGACAAGATGGTTCTTTGATTCAACAGAAAGTGCTGCTTGGTTCTAACACAGTATGTTTTAAAGAGTCCGTGCGCCGTATCGAATATTTTTTATCTTAGGGGGTGAGAGATACGGAAAAGCTTTTCCGAGTGCTTACCTTAGTTCTAGGAACGAGTGTTAGTTTTGTGTCTTGTCAACTCCAACACAGACTGTATTAGAGTTAATTAAGTAACAGCCAATACATGTCCCACTGCTGGGCAAAGGCCTCCTCTATACAGAGGGTATCAGGGCATAGTCCACCACGCGGCCCCACTGCGGATTGGCGGACTTCACATATTTTCGAAATATATTTTTTTTTGTTATTATTTCGAAAATATACAGGTTTCCTCACGATGTTTTCCTTCACCGCGGAGCACGTGATAAGTCAGCACTTAAAGTTAAAAACTTCATTGGTGCGGGCACCGGGGATCGAACTCAGGTTGCTCGAGCATATTGAATTAAAGGCGAGCGCCCGGACACTGAGCTATCACGGCTCTTTATGACTGTGTTAGAGTTTTATTAAAATCACCTGCGACTGTATCGCGTGCAATTAGGTGGGATTGTAGTCAAGTCACTGGATATAAATACAAGAAAGTTATAAGTAACACTGGGACGTTCTTAGGTTTTACTCACAATCTTAATCTATAAATCCGTGTTAGTCTTATTGTAACTCTTCATAAATCTTTTACAGTCGAGTAGGTTGAACTCTCAGTAAAAAAAAACGTTCGGGTAATTATGTACGCACGTAAGAAGTTATACTTCTCTAGCAAGCCGAAGTGTGCTAAAGTTTGGGTGTTTCAATAATATAAATTAAATGCGAGAAAGTCACGCAGGGACAAATTCATCACATGTTCAGCTATTGACTTCGCTGCATGATTTCACATAAATTGTCGTATAAATTGTCGTATATCGTTGTTGACTAGATTTTAAATTTCTTTGAACACATATTCCATAACTGTAATTCTCTTTATTATCTTCAAGGAGCTTCTAAAAAAGGCTAGCGTATATTATGCGTTCATTACACGGTGTCGTTGCTTTAGAAAACGAGTAGTGAGTCCTTGTTGTTCAGATTATAAAACGTTTACGTACGCGATAATGTAATAATGAGAAAGAGGTGGTAGGGGGAGGACTCATGGGTCCCTAGCTCGCGGGCCCCCTCTCGTGCAATGGGCCCTTAACGAGTACTTTTTGTGCGCGGCCCATCTTTGTCTCCGCTAGGCGGGCAGAAATAATTGGACGACTTTAAGGGCCTGTTTACACGTGTACGGCGTGTTTACGCACGCTGACAACGTTTTGTTTCGCGAATCACGTAAAGGCCGTTGACCCCGACGTGTGTTTAGACGCACCTACCTGTCAGCACCAAGAGATTTGCGATATGTCGCACGTACACTGCTTGAATAAACGTTCAGTCAAGAATTTTGTTAGTACAATGCGTTAATGTATCAGCGTAATTTTTTAAAGTTTAGTATTTTGTGTTAAATCGGCAGCGTAGTCGCTAATGTATTAGCTTCGGCGTCGGAGTTCGAGGGTTCGATTCTTACAAGGGACAATCTTTATGTTAACAAGAGACATATGTTTCGGGTCTGGGTGTCTGTTCTTAAGGTTCGAAGAGCAGACGTCAAACTAGCCAATAACAACTTCAATAAAAAGGACTTCAAATAAAATGATATACGTAACTATTACAACGTTAAATTTATATGGGACCATTTCGGAATGAAACCCTTTAGAACAAAAAAAGAATTTTGCAAATCCGTCTACATATGACGAAGTTATGCCCGAACATACATAAAAAATATATATAAACATCCGAATTGATAACCTCCTTCTTTTTGAAGTCGGTTAATGAAACTTCTTCCAGTAACATATTGACGCCCAGTTTCTGAAACACTGATTATCGTAGATGTCAACTAATCAGCCGTCAAATGGCTTTTCAAGTTTCATTTTAGTTGTCACCATTCAAAACAGAAAGAATTTACATATTCTTTCTGTTTTGTATGGTGTCTTGTTTCATGGTTGTACTCCACCATATCTAAAGGAGAAATTTGAGCTTGTAGGGCTTCCAGGGGAAGATGTACGTTCTTCGAGGAAGCTCATTTTAAAGGCCCATTTACACGGTGCCAGTTTCTTGCCCGTTGTATACAATAATTGCGCGCAATAATTGTTTAGACCATTTGTTGTTTAGACCATGCAACTCATTTATTGCTTCAATTTAATTGTATACAACAGGCAAGAAACTGGCACCGTGTAAATGGGCCTTAAGGGTGCCAAATAACAAAACGTCGTTTTATGAAAAATCTTTTACCGTGCAGGCTATTAATCTCTGGAATTCCTTGCCTTTAGAAAACTAAAGGCAAGGAATTCACGTAAAAACGTGAGGCGCAATCTATTGGCACTTTTAAGAAGTTAGTAAGAGAGCACTACCTGTCACAATCACCTGAGTAATATTAGGATTAAATACTATTCATGTTTGAGGTCTAGTATATATATGTGTGTATATATATATATATATATATATGTATATTTGTGTATATATGGATATGTATATATAAATGTATGTATCTGCTTTAATAATATATTATGTATATTTCTATTGCACCACCTACGTAGTATACGTTTCCTTTAAGCCATTGGTTGCCTGGAAGAGATCGCTATGAAGCGATAAGGCCGCCAAATTTTACATTGCATAAATTTGTTGTTCTATTGTTACTTTTATGTATGTTCTTATTTGTGGTGGACAATAAAAGTGTATTCATTCATTCATTCATTAGTTGCCAAAAGGACGATTAAACTCTCTGAATTGACCAGAATGATTTTCTCATGATCAGAACGATCAATCCAAAGAGTGTAACCATGCTTTTGGCGACTAAAATGAAATTTGAAAACCATTTGACGGCTGATTAGTTGACATCTACGATGATCAGTGTTTCCGAAACCGGGCGTCAGTGTTTTGTGTTTTAAATAGTCCCGATATAGATGGTTAATGTCGAGTTAACTGCGACCAAGCAACAATTTCCATAAGCTTCACGAATACGATGGGTCGGAGAAGTTCCACGGCCTCGCAGAAGACCGGCCTGGATTAACCAAAACCGCTTCAGGTTGACCTTGCGTTATGAAATTTAACGAAAAACATAATTTACAACAATACAATACAAGTAAAAGAATACCTGAGAGTGAAATTGCTGTAAAATTGTTTATTAGCAATTCTCCGAGCGGGCAAGAACGTTATATGGTGGCAAGCGAGGTGGCGGTTCACCTGATGTTAAGTGATAACCGGACATTGACATTTGCAATACCCGTACGGTTGCAGATGCGTTGCCACCTTTTATAAAAGCGTCTCCAGGTTAGCTCACTCACCTGACGAAAGGCACAAGTATAACTTCACGCCAGTCTTCTGTGAGGTCTTGGTACTTCCACGGACGGACCTGCCCATTCGTGCAACAGTGAACAGTTCGTGGCCCTACCCCATTGACACATTATCGTTATGCCTTTACACTTTATGTTTAAATATAATATGTAATCGTAAATTCCTTTCCCGCAATAAATTACATTCGTCTACAACCAAACGAAACTTTTAACAACTTTTAAAACAAGTATCTTTTATAATTAGCGAGGCGCTTTTAAGAACGATAATACTGTTATATGCAAAATTAATGATGATTACTTTTTCAACTTTATTGCCGCTAAACAAACATTAAGCCTTGAAATAACGAGTCGCTTATGTGAAGAACTGTCAATTGAGGTAAATTCTTAAGCCCTGGGACGGAGAAAGAGTTGTACCACGTACTGTGAGTTATTTAAAGGGATTTGTTCGAGAATATTCTTAACGAAACGGTCGGTGCGCAACGGTTGGTGGCTCTGACATTTTAATTATTACCGAATTTAAACCGAGACCCGTGTTTTACACGCAGTTGCTGAAAGTGGCAACTTCACAAGATTTTTACGTAAGTTTTTAAACGCCGATTGTTGTACAAGAAAAGAGCAGGAGATTTGAATTCACTTTAACCCTAACTAAAATCTAGACGTTTGGCAGTTCACAGACGTGCACTATAATCAAAGTTTTCTGCCGTACTTGGTCTAAGGCAAAAGTAACTTTTTTTTTAATGTCACAAGTTGCCAAGCGAGCAGACGGTTCACCTGATATTAAGTGAATACCGCCGCTCATGGACATCTGCTAAACCCGAGATCCAGATGCGTTGACGACCTTTTGAAAATTGGGCTCCGGCCACCTCACTCACCAGACGAAACGCGAAAGTATTATAATTCCACTTTACGCCGGTCTTCTGTGAGGTTGTGGTACTTACCCGGACTAGCTTGCCCATTCGTGCAACGGCCTAGGCTGCTGCGTGGCCTTACCACCGTGAAACTTCGTAAAGTCAGGTGTAGCCAGCGGTATTTCCGGTCTTTACTTTACTAAACACTCTTTTACTCTTTGGTAAGGTTCCAGAGTGCATGAGCGGCGGTTTTATACATCCAGTTCGACGACACAGAACAGTGTAAAAGGTGTTATCAATAAGAAAATTAGCATGTGCGACTGCGTCAGCACCCTCGACACACCATAATGGTTTAACGTACTAACAACAAAGGAAACTTTTACCATAAAAATTAATTCAAAATTACAGGGCAAGCCATTACTCATCTATATTTTTTGGAGAAAAAGTGCATCAGACCTGGAATGCGATAATCCGACAGAGAGAAGCAGTTATTATCATTAATGATCGCAGTTTTTTCGGCCCGGATAAACACGCTCGACCCGGAATCAGTTTACGACGAGCACGTGGCGCGTATCCGGGATTTACGAGTTAACACTATCATCGCGACTTCTTAACGACGCTCTTATTTGAGAGCTCCTGATTCTGATGCCCCTTCCAGTAGCCGTGAGCGCGGTGGTCGGGCGTTCGACCTTTCCCTTCGCCCGGGTCGAATTAAGAACGCATTTAATGTACACAATAAGGATATATTTAAAAAATTTAAGAATTTACGAAACTTATTCAAGATAATGGACGAATATCGCTTTGCTGTCCGAATATTTGTTAAATTAAAAGTAGGGCCACGCAATGGTGTTCACTGTTGCACGAGTGGGCAGGCCCATCCGGGTAAGTACCACGACCTCACAGAAGAGCGGCGTAAAGTAGAAGTGTGACACTTCTGCGTTTCGTCCGGTGAGTGAGGTAGCCGGGGCCCACATTATTAAGAGGTGGCAACGCATCTGCAACCCTACAGGTGTTGCAAATGTCCATGGGTGGCGGTTATCACTTAACATTAGGTGAACCGCCAGCTCGCTTGCCACTTTGTCACATAAAAAAACCTTGAATAAATATATCTTTTTACTATAAATATTGTCAACACTGCTATATCGCTTGTGACTTGTTTAACCCGCTATCATTGGCTATGTCTTTTAAAATACGTATAACGACTGAGACGATCACACACGTCGATAAATATCGTTTCGTCACGAAGTCGGACTACGGAGCTCGCCGAGAAGGTTAATTACGCAAACCGCCGTTGTCGCGTTCGCCACAATTTCGAAGCGAAAACGTAAACGCGCAACGTATCGTTTCCAATTGTCCGAAGTTCACCGACCGTTGTATTATCGCGCGGTGCTTTTAACTAATTATCGTCTTTCGCAACGTCCCAGATCGAGCGGAGCACTTAAGAACAGACTCCACGTACGTTTATCGCTGATTTTTAATCAAAAGACCGAGACGCATAATTTATTGGCTCGCCTCATTACCGGCCATTGTCTGCCCCTAAGGAGTTGACCGGTTCAGAATTGTTTTTCGTTGTTACTGCAACAGCGATGGAAACCGTTAAGCGTCTTCTTCTTCTTTTACTTTTGAATTCGGAAATTTAATCTACAGAAGTCATCTACGGAAGGCCGCCGTGAAATGGATGTGCTGCAACTCTGCGCATCGTCTCGTGAGGTAACTGGGTCCATAGGCGGCGGTTATCACTTAACATCAGGTGAACCGCTTGCTCGCTTACCACATTCTCAGCGGTCAAAATAAAACCGGTCGAAACAAAAAAAAACGTTTTTGTTTCGACCGATCTTTCTTTCATCGTTTCAATGTTTTTCTTATTTTTGGTTACACAACTTGTATAAAAAGGTTAAAATTCATTCGACACGATGGTATTTGATTAATAGCGGAAACTCAGAAGGGAAAGAAAGGTAATAAAACCTACAAAATCATATTAGACGTGAGCCATAATTATATTCATAAGCGCGCCGGCTAAACCCAACTGACGGGTCAAACGACCTTGTGGCGCAACCTTCCGAGAAATTATCGCGCGAAAACAAAACCGAAACAAGCGGAACCCACGTCTGATGGGGACTCGAACCCGTCTAGTTTGGGACGGCCTTCACTTTCAATAGGTTTCACACGCACTTTCGGCTCTATGTTTCTTGTATTAAGCCGCGTATTTACTTGGTAGTCGGTCAAACGAATCGGATTCATTTTTTGTTTCCAGTGCAATAATGAAATTTTAGACGGCGTTCTGCACCCATCATTCTTCATCAATGGAAATTAACACGTCCGTGCAGCGTAAGTAATCACCGGGTTAGAACAGGACAGATCTTGTCGCATCCGTCCTACCTTTTATCGATGGGCATCTTATGATTTATAGTCATTCGGCTTCTTTATTTAACATCATTCATTTTGGGGGCCATCAATCTCCGCATTAACATGCTTTATTAAATCTTCTTATCGCTGTGGTGTCCGATGATTAATAACTTGGCAGAGGCGATCCGAATACCTTAGGGTGAGGAATTCCGTAAATTGAAACGATTGTCTTTTGGGGATCGTCTCGACGCTCCGGCCTACGCCACACGCGAGATAACGGTAACGCTATACCGCGTAAATAAGTTTTACAATCACCGCTTATTGCATTATCGCACTGGCAGTGGGCTCTGGCGCCCACGCCGGCGTGTCGACGCACCCGGTCAAACCGCGACCCACTCGGACCAAATCGCCGCTTTGTAACGAGAAGGAATCTCGCATCTCGCACGAACTCGCGAAGGTGGCTTCGATCTAGGCGGCCGCGCGATCGCCCGACCCGTTGCAACCCGACCAAGGTGGAGGGGGTAAGCGTCACTCGACAACGTCGCACGCCGGCCCCGGCTTCAGTCACTCGTCGGCGTTTCTGCGTTACGCACGTCGAGTTAGCGCCCAACGCCGCTTCCGAGACAACTTTTTTTGCAAAACTTGTGTACGACTTAGCCGATTGGATCGAGTTATTCGCAGTGCTTTTGTGACACAGTGACGGATGTGCTGTTCAAGTGCCGAAACCGGACCGATTTCACGCCGTGACGCGTTAGGAACACGAGCCGATGGTCCTATTGAATAGTAACATGAAAATAAACGGTAATGTAAACACGAATGCATGCATACGAATCCATCCAATTCACCTCAAATGCCCGCTGCGTATCGGAATGGTCTAATGATCTCGGCTTGCACGACGCACGATGCGTTATTCACATTTAGCGAATTAGACACCGATCCTAATCGATTCGTTGTACACGGAGCCATATGCGGCATTTAGTGAATGCTTCGAACGAGCTACGATCCACCATTGGGGACCACCGGAACGGCCAAAACAATGGCGGGCCCCGCGTATCCCGAGCGACATTGACTCGCCGTATGTAAATCCGAGTTGGCGCGAACAATCGAACACGGTGTGCTTGGAAGTCGATTTAATATGAATGAAGCCTTGTGTGTGTGACCCTGTCGCGCCTACGGGACCAGCCGCAGTGGGTGGACGGCATAGTTACCGCGCCGCCTAGAACGACAGTGGGTGTTCGAATGGAGCCAGTTAATAATAATGGTGAGATTTAATCACCGCCATAGAGGTTGCACAACAGAGCTATGTACAAGCATGCCCGTGGCCCCGTAATGTAGAAGACACTACCGAATAACATATTGAGAATAGACACTAACAAAGCTTTCAGCCAATATTAGTACGTAGGTACTAACTATTAACTCTGATGCTTCCTTAAAAATTTGGCCCAAATGTCGTTTTTGTTATGACTTCACTGACGTTCGTTTTCGGTATAGGTGACAAACAGAATCCCTATTTGGCCCTCCATCCTGTTTGTGCGTAGTAGGATTTCGTTTCGCACATGTCGCCATACGGAGTTCGGATGTGGACGGACAAAAAACAGACCACTTCTTGTCGCACATGTTCCGTCTTAAATCCGGGGCGATCTATTTCACACGGCCCATCCAAATTGCTAGCGATCTAAATGTTCATCTAGTAAATATAATCAAGACCGACAACTGTGTAATCGATTTATTTTTAATCTACGATGAAATTGAAGCAAAACCTACACCGTAACAGCCAGTATCATGGAAAAACACAAGACTAATAAAGCTCCAGTGAAACCAACGCGTGGCGACTTCAATCGCGAGGCTAAATTTAATTTGTGAAACGAATTACTCAATGTTACCATGTTATTACCGAATGCATCTGGCGGTAATGATGAATGCGCCCGGGCGGGGAAATAAAAAAGGCACAAAGAGAAACCTTGCGCGGGCGGGGGCGGCACGTGGGTCGGCAGATGCGCGAACGCATCGGGCACTCGCCTACTCCGATTCGAAGCCATTATCTCACGAATCACGCCAACATCGCGTGCAGCTGGGATCCCAAGACACATTTGCTTTTATATCAGCATCGGATTTGTATTTTTTGCCCGGTTCTACGAAGTATTGCGGTCGGCACGTTGTGGTGAAGTTTGGTACTGATTCAAGATAGCTTAGGCTTTCGATAATGGCCATACTTACTAGAGCGTTATGAACCCGCTTGTTTGAAATTATCCAAATCCGATTCTCTTCCGTGGAAAATGTAAAGTAGTGCCAATTTTGCAGCGAATTTTAAAACTTGCTGTTTCATGTTAAGTTAAACACGTGATCTATGTATGCCATTATAGGATCTCTATTCATTGACTTCTCGATTAACAGTACTTCTAAGCGTGAGGTCGCGAGACCCCATAGGGGTCAAGTCCGGCTCGCAGAAGCGCGTTTTTCAACCGATTAATATCGCCCGCAACCCGTAGATAGATCGCCATTTACGGCAACCTGTGGCCGCGCCGCATTGACAGCTGTGTGACAACTGTGAGATAGTCGGCTCTCGCCCTTTCTCCGATAGCAATCGACTTGTTTGGTGTTTTCATAATTTCACTGGCCCTCGTCCGTTTGGCCGCAACAATGATTTTGTACTTTAGTGTGTAAAGTAGAAAAACCAAATGCGCTGTTTCGATTTAGATACATAGCGATAGTTGTTTTTCTTTCGAGGGAAATTTGGTTTGCCTGTTGGGAAAATGTGTAAAAGATGACGAGAATGTAATCTTTTCTTCTAATTTTCATTTAATTCTTGTTCTGTAATCACAACTGAAACAGGCAACGAAGTTTTAATTTCTGTTTCAAATTCATTTTCAAAAAAAATTCTTGACACATCTTAAAATCATACAAAGTACAGTAGTAATATCATCAACACAGAAACGTTAACAGTGCAAATATTCTTTCGTTTGCCATTTCTCTTAATAAAACTTGAAAAGGATTTAATGACTAGCACTACGGAGATGAACGTTACATGATATCTCGCATCCATAAACAAGATCGTTTGCATTATATTTAATATGTATTACATTATGATGGATGTATGGTGCGAGAGTTTGCACACGTAAATAGGATGCTGAAGACATAGCGGAGTGAGCACAGTAACGTTACAATATGCAAATATTGCTCACCGTAGAGCAGCAAATTTAATCTAGACCAAACAGAGTAATCGGAACGAGTTTAGTTCATAAGTGGAAACTTGTAATCCAATATTCCGTCTGAAAACACTATTGGCGGTAACTTTGCGCAGCAAACACTATGTAAGCTTGGGCAAACTTCTTAGCCGATTTGAAACGTGGTCGATGTTTGAATAATATATGAGTATATTTGTCTATGCTAATGTTACGGAGTCCGAGCGGCCGCGAAATAAGTCTTAACGTTTCAAGGACACAGATAAAGACTTATCTTTGTATATTATTACAAACGGCCTGGAATTTCACTGCTTAATATTCTAAATAGCTAAGCAATACCCGGATCTCTAATAAAATTACTTACCTTATCACAGACGTTTAGATATGAAAAACATTAATTTTCTCTTCCACTTTTCTAACTAGTTGACTATCGACTTTGTCCTAAGTTCGCAATTAAAAATAATCAACTTGATATTAGACAAGTAGAGCAGCGACTTTGCGATTAATTAAAACGAAATAAAATTGAGAACAAAGCAAGCTTCTAGTAAAATCTAATGTGATGATACGTTATTAAGTTAATAACGGTATAACATAACACATTGATGATTAAAAGTAAATGATGTAAAATAATAGAACAACAAACATTTTAACAATAGACGAAATATTAAAACAGCTTGAACTGCACTGATATTGAACATTTTGACATTCTTTAAACACATGTGCTTAAAGACCTTCATACCACATGTTCTTCAAGTCAAGTGTTCCAATACATCATCCGCTTTTGTATTTCTTATCCTGAAACACTTCAAGTAATTTAGCAAGCGGCCATTACTTTCGAGACAATTACAATTCTGGGAATAATCTTGAAATATCCTTGAATTTCAATACACTGGGCACGTTCTTGGGCACCTGCTCGCCATCTGCAAGGATTTACAACTGACAGATCAAAATTACTCCCTCGAGGATAACGCAGCTGACATTGGAAAAAAGCGGAACATTGTAATCCAGGTGGGCACTTTCGAAAATTCAACGTTATTAATCACGAGGACACTGTGACAAAAGGCTTGATCAAAATGAGAGATTTACGAATAAAAGAATTTAATGGTCCAATTAAAAGGGTTCAGAATCAGTTTCGAGTTAATTGCAGATATTTAAGCTTCTTTTTACTCGTTTGTATGTCAAAATAGCGTGAATGTTTTCATAATTTATAATAAATCTAATTTTAAGTTGTAATCACTAAATTCATTAAACAAAGACGGTTCATCCAGTAACCCAGTAATAACCAGAAATTTATTTGATTTTAAATCGACCATCTTACGAGTAAGTAAAGTTAATAATTCTTAATCTAGTAAAACTTTCAATTCTAGATCGGCCAACGTAAGGGTCACTCAGATCAATGTGTATGCTATGAGTTACCGTAGTAAGCGTGTAGACTTCATTATTTAAAGTAATTGACGTACGTTCACGTGCATCGTGCCGGACCGATCCCACGCCCCCCCACGCCCCGTCTGGAAAGGAAATAGGACTGAAAATAAATCGCCCTTACACCGAACTCACTAAAATAGTCGAACGCTACGCTTCGCTTTCCATTTCTCCACTACCATTGCCGTATCCTGTGCTGCAATATGTTAGCTCTAGTGCGCGTTTCCACTGGACGATTTGGTTATTGCTCTTCGTACGTTAATAATTTCCTTAACGATAATTTATCACTATCAACTTGGAACTCTGCTTCTTAACTTGCTCGGGAGATGTTTTTCGTTTTTCATTCAAGCGCAGAAATGGAAGCGAATTACAATAAATACATTGTGACACAACAATCTGAACACTTGATTTGTAGTGATTCTGATTGTCCATGGTGTTATGTACTCTAAAAATGAACATTATTAACTGTCTCGTTGAGTGTATTGTTTTAATATAGTTTAAAACGTCTTTGACGAACAATTAACCCGACGCCGAATCGATACCGTATTATAGCGCGTGACTCGAGCATTGTACACTGACGGTATCCCCCCAACGGCAATGCATCGTTAATCACTCCCATTCTTCTCGTGCGATATCCCGATTTTCAATTTGGGCGCGGCCACCGATGCCCTTGATAAATGAAGCTCGCTAATGAAACCAGAGCCGTTGACGTATCGCCTCGTGACGTACCGCACTCCACAATGGACCCGTTCGTAATTGTACCTGTGATTTACGCGCACAATATCCGACGATACGGATGTGCGCCGTCCCTTTTTGTCCGTTTTAATTTTTGAACTTTCTCACATCGGGCATGTTTGAATGTTTTTTTTTTTTCTTCACGTAGACTCCGTGTTTGTTTAGAACGAATTAGCCCGTCGCATTTAAGCTTACCCAGCAGATGTTGCTTCATTAATTTCCAGTAGTTTTTGTGTTTGTCCTCGTTTTTTTAAAGTCTTCCATAGTCTACATTAATTATGTACCTTTTACTCAAGTGATTAATAATATATTGTTTTTAGAAGTTATATTATTTACCAAATGGATATATTCAAATTAAAAGGTCAGTGACCAGGGGCTTGCTCTTAACTTGATAATTCTATATCAACTGCTTAATAGTAGATAGCATACAGTCCGTACGATGTACAGTGTAACTCAACTTCAGTGACAGTATTGCGTTCCCATTTCTTTGGTTAATCCTTATCAAGACAGATATAAAGATCACCGATGTCATTTTGTTTACCCGTCGATGTTGAATCTATGATGTTTAGAATCGAAACGATGTCCGAGTTAAACTGAAGCGCTTATCTGTACTTACAAACACGATACGAGCTATCAGTTTTATCGGATTTCAACATAAATACCGTATTACCACGATTATCGATGATATTCAAGAAAAACATGCTAGTGTTTTAGCGCGTTTATTGCTTGACCAATACGGTCTATTTTCGGTACTACATATCTTTGCTGCATGACCGTTAAAACAGCTAGATCAACAACTGTCGCAATAGTACAAATTCCTATTTGTACTATTCGTTAGAAAGTTTATTGCTATTAGTTTAATAGTCCCGACCTTTACTAATCTCGCTAGAATCATGTTCACATGGTTTTCTAACAATAAAATCTTAGTCTGTATTAATATAATGATTAGTAAGATATTATTTATGTATCTGCAATCAATCTGTTGTTGCATATCCTAGGATCAACAGGAGATCAGCTCGATTGCTTTACGAAAACAGAGCAAGAGATTTCAATGAAAAATTTTCTTTGCCAATTTTAAAAGGAGAAAGTTTCGCTAATTCTCTGGTATTAGTAGGGTCATTGACGCGTGAATAGAGTTGACTGCAACCTGGGAAGCGATCGAACTACCGAGATGCCATCGACCCTGATCGCAGGTGGCCGCAGCCTACCCTGGCTGCTCGCCAATTCCTAACTGCAACAAGCCAAACGAGGCGCTGACAGGCTACGACGATGTATTTCGACTCTCGCCTTGATTTTCCCCGAAAGTTACAAAGCCGAGGTGAAATAAACCTTCATTGTTGTTATATGAAATGTATTGAAACTGTAATTTGTAATTTATAGTGCAAGATAAAATGTAATCTAAAATATTCAAAGTAAGTTAGTATCGGCATAAAACTTTTGAGTACAGCCTGTGATTCAATATAGAATTCCTCTAAGATTTCCTCATGATGATTTAATTTCATAAGAAACACCTTGTTCTTTGTCATTACTTACATTCCTTTTCCTTCCTTTCTTCCTTTCTTCCTTCCTTTTCTGTGAGTATTGTCTAAACCTTCATTTTGAGTGAATTGATTCGTTATAAATGATTAAGAAAATAGAGTAATTAATAGTAAAAATAAATTGTAGTAGTAGTTGTTAAGAAAACATGATAGTATAATTTTACTTTACTATGTTCTGTACCGAGTGATGTTAACTATTTGGAAGACAACTAA